CACACACACACACACACACACACACACACACACACACACACACACACACCAGCTCTGATGTAAACAGTCGCAGCCTTTTTAATTCGCTCCATCAAATGAAGCGAGCAGAACCCTCTTTAAACTGAAAACACCTGCATGCACAGGAGGAAGAATCGTCTGTTTTCACCTCCACCCAGGGCTGCAACACAACTCAGACTGAAAGGTGAAGCCATTAGCACCAGAGGCAGTAACTGCGCCCTCATTCAGAGTCTCAGTGGTCCCTCAAGGCCGACACCATGACAACGGCTGGCTTTAACGTGGCATAATGCGGCGGACAAACACGCAGGTGAGGACGACATTATTCCAGCCTCGCGTTGGGTTTGATCTTCCAGCACAGGTTCTGTCACACTTACTGGGCTGAGGAGGACATTTGTCACATAATTACAGTCAGGAAAGAAAAAAAAAAGATACACAAGCAAAACTGTGCTATACTTTTGGGATCTAATCTTCAGATTCCAGAAAAGTTGCGGTGAAACTGAATCTTTTTAAATCTCAAAACGTGCTGGACTTCTGGTCCCATTTTTAAAACGTCAATTTAAAGTTGCTGTGACTGACATCCAGGTGTTCGATTTTACATCAGTCTGATTGCTGCTGCTGCCGCCTGATTGTGCCAGAAAACCCTTTCAGACCCCGGCCTGATGCATCACCCCGACCCAAATTCACTTATGATAATAAAAAAAGCAGAATAAAATCAAGCTTTTGTTCACATTTTTCTAAATGCATGTTCTGGAGTGCTTCAGAATCATTATATAACTGCATAAATAAAAGAATAAATACAATTTAGAAAGTTCAGTATAACCCAAAAACATGTAGGGCTTTTTATGTTTGACTGATGTTGAGATGGTTTATTTATCAGTTTTAAAAATATATTTGCCAAAATAGTCATTATAGCTAAACAGTAATCAGAAATAAAGTTTATTTATTTATTTATTTATTTATTTATTTATTTATGCTTTTGTTTTGCATGATTATTATACAGATTTGCCTGTTATTTCCTGTTTATGTCACAAAAGAAACATTCTTTGGTTTAAGGCACAAAACTCTAAATAAACAATTTTTTGTCATTCTAATTATTTGAATTGAAAAGATTTATTCCTAGAACTGATTATTTGGTCTGAAGTGTTTCAAAATTTAACTGGAAAAATTACAATAAAATGCTGGTTCTAGTTGGGGTTTTTTATATTAACTTCGACTAATTTGTTACTTTTTTTTATTCTGTGTAGCATTGCTCTGAAATTTAAACTTGTTTTGATGAAATTCAAATTGACAAGTAAATGTTCTTTTACATTTTTCAGTTGGAGACTCATTGAAGCCAAACGACCACAGAATCATTTTTGATTTTTTGAAATATTTCCCATTTCACATGGTAATACAGTAGAGAAAGGTGAGGAAAAGCAGCAAACTGGAGGTTAAGTGTTTGAGTTGTGTGAGAGAGTTATTCTTAGGTTTTATCAAGTTAATTGATTTGGCCCAGACAGAGCTCATTGGACCTCCTGTTTCAAAAACATTAAAAATATTAATCAGCTAAGCAACAAGTTAAAACTTCAAAAAAAAAAATAAAAAAAAAAGTAGAGAGCCAGAAGTTGAAATTAAAATGAAGCTGGCTCAGGAGAAATCCCACCACTCCCACCCTGACCTTTCTAATTCCACTTCCTCCCTCCGCCACGACGTTCATAGACAGAAATGGATTTTATCGAACAATCAGAACCTGGCTGAATGGAGCATCTCGGGGCAAAGTAGTGACAGCTCCATTATCAGACAACACTTGTATTAAAGAGCCTAAAAAACACTTTAGTTTTATGAAGGGAAAGACAAAACAAATGGAAGAAAAGGTCCCAGTCAAACCCATTCAGCTGTGCGTCATCTCAACGATGGACTGCTTTAAAATGGTTTTCTTACAGGCAGAAAGAAAAAGGGAAGGGAACAAAACTGAAGTTTTGTTGTTCGTAGACAGAGACACTGCTGTGAACGAAACACTGAGTTATTTAATTTCGCCCTGATTCTAAAGTTGTTCTGTCAATGAAACCCAAACTGTGGGTCAGAGTCTCTCTGAGCTCGTTTGTCATCATTTGTCGCTTAGTTTAGTCACAATGATCCACGAAGCCACAGTCTTAACCCTGCGTCATTTTGACCCGAGGGCAGCAGGAAGGTTGACGCCGAAAAACTTGGGGGATTGTTTTTGCACATGGAAATTTTCTCCTAGAACCTGTTCCTTGCTTAATGCAGGGATGGCCAACTGGTGGTCTGTGGGCCACGTTTGGCCAGTGGGTGACTTTCGTCCAGCCAATGAGCCCCCGCTCCATTATCATTTGGGAGGTAGACTATCTGTTCGCAAAATTTCAAGGCAAACCTGTATTCAGTCTGCCACGGGGGGTTTTAATGTAAGTCACCACTACAACATGTTGCACAAAGCTAAATATGTGAGGTTTACTGAAGTCACAAGTACATAAGTAACAATGACTTTTTATCAGAACCACACGAGTAAACGTTGATTTTTGTTTTTGCTTCAAATGTTTTATATTCATATCTTTCAAACAAAAGTACAACTGTTATACGTGCATTTGAGCACGAAATATGTTAAGTTACTACACCCTTTGTTGGTTTAATAAGCATATTTACACACAATTTACACACAAACATTTTAAAAAACTGCTTTATTGCATTTAGGTTAGTGCGAAGCACTATGTGGTCCTCTGGTAGGGTCAACAAAAAAAATTGTGGCCCCCTTCCATCATTTAAGTTGCCCATCCCTGACTTTGTGTTTTTTGCTTTGTTTAATGCCCCTTTAGTAAAATATTGAAATTTATTGCTGGCATTTTCTCACAAACATTTTTTAATGACCTTTAAATGATTTGTTAATCACTGCATTATGTCGGCTACAATATTAAACAAACAGAATGTGTAAAATTTACAAAATAACTTAGCTTTTTTGTCTTTCTATAAACACTTGTATCAATATATTTATCAGGCATATGTGGCAACATCCATGCAACTAACTAAATTAATGAGGGTGTTTCACAAGTAAAATGCATGTGATTATTATTATTATTTTGATCTGTGGGTGGGTGGGTTAAGAAGGGCCATTGCCCCCTTCTGGCCCTCTTTGCTGGTGCCCCTGTTTGTAGGGCTCAGGCATAAATAATTCAGCTTTTTCACCAAAATAGTTTGCTTTAAAACGATTCTTCAGGTGTTTTCAAGCGGTTTGTTCAGGTGAGGTAGAGAAGTGAGTTTGATGGGCTTTTCTCTGTGGGCTTAATGATTAGTTACACATCTGCACAGGTGATGTCTCCTTTAAGATCCACGAGCTCCTCCAGAAATTTGTTTGTGTTTTCCTCATAAACACGGAGTTTTAATTAATATCTGAAGGACTGAAAGTCCAACAGGGTGGTTTAAATTTTTATACCGCATCAATGCAGTAAAGACCAGTTTTATACAGTTTATAGTGATAGTCATAATTGTTACACCTGTCTGAATTACACAGGTAAATATTTAACACTTAATGACAATACGTTTTTCTTGAAGGGAATAGTAGTATTTATATCTATTGACCTTTATTATATTAAATCTCGAGGATAGCGCTGCGTAAACGGTAAAGGTTCATTGAAGTAAAAAAAGACGCGTAATCATTCAGCGTTTCTTACCTGAATTCGTGTAGAAATTCAACCAGAAACTGTGTAAACGCGTTTCCTCCTGCCTGCGATAAACCAAGTGGACTTTAAACGCTTGTTCTCTCAAACACCAACTGAGAGCCGCTCATTCGCCGGCAGGTGGTCCGCCCTCACTTTTTTTTTTACGTCTACCTCCTCAAACATGTCCCTTTTCTCTCACTTTATTGCCACGTAATGACGAGGTACCTCATGGGAAACTATCCTACTCCTCCTCGATGCTATAAGAAGTCTGGCAGCCAAAGGAAGTTGCGGTAAAAAAGAGAGAAAGTGCGATAATTTGTTTTTTTTATAAAGGATTTTGTCAGACAGCGCTTCACGGTGGCGCCACACTGACCCCTAGCGTCCACGGATGGCATTACATGCAGTCTGCTTTTGAATAAGTGCAAAGTAAGCTGAAATAATTAATTTGTGTTTCATAAACTAAAAATACAAAGAGATTACAGCCGTTATATTAATTTATGGAAGCCCATTTACGCCACCCTGATAAAAAATAAATAAAACTTGTATCTCATAATTATGACTTAGCCATCTCATAAATATGAGATAGCTATCTCATAATTATGAGACAGCTAAGTCATAATTATGAGATACTATCTCATAATTATGACTTAGCCCCATCTCATAATTATGAGATATTCATAATTATGACTCAGTTATCTCATAATTATGACTTAGCTGTCTCATAATTATGAGATACTATCTCATAATTATGACTTAGCTGTCTCATAATTATGAGATACTATCTCATAATTATGACTTAGCTATCTCATAATTATAAGATACTATCTCATAATTATGAGATAGCTAAGTCATAATTATGATATAGCTAAGTCATAATTATGAGATACAAGTTTTATTTTTTTATCAGGGTGGCGAAAATGGGCTTCCATATTAATTTACCCTCTCTAGTAAAAAAGAAAAGGCTTATTTTTTAATCTTTTACCTGCTTCAAATTCATATTTCATGGATAATATAATGATAATGATGACATTTATATTTTATTGCCCCCAATGCGTCTGGATATTTCAGCTTCAAGCTCACTTCCCTTAATGGTATTTTAGTAAATGGGAAAAAAGGCTAACAAGTTATTAAATAGCCCCTGAGCCTAACTGGCCCTCCCTTTGATTCAAACCTAAAATCCAAGTTTTAAAATGTCTAAATCACTTAAATAAGCTCACAAAGCAAACAGTTAAATCAAGACGAATGTTTTCAGGCTTGTGATAATAACATAGTTTGTCAAAATTTAAATAGTTTTTATCATTATTTGCTAAAAACCTGTGCAGAATTTGAGTGACAAACCAAAAATTGAATGTAAAATTGAATTGCATTAGTTATTTTTTAAGTACTTGTAAAATTGTGAAGTTTTATCTATCATCCATCTATCCATCCATTTTCTTCCGCCTATCCGGGGTCGGCAGCATCAGAAGTGAGGCCCAGACCTCCCTCTCCCCAGCCACTTCTTCCAGCTCCTCCGGGGGAACTCCAAGGCGTTCCCAGGCCAGCCGAGAGACATAGTCCCTCCAGCGTGTCCTGGGTCTTCCTCGGGGCCTCCTCCCGGTGGGACGTGCCCGGAACACCTCACCAGGGAGGCGTCCAGGAGGCATCCTTAYCAGATGCCCGAGCCACCTCAACTGGCTCCTCTCGACGTGGAGGAGCAGCGGCTCTACTGAGTCCCTCCCGGTTGACCGAGCTTCTCACCCTATCTCTAAGGGAGAGCCCAGCCACCCTGTGGAGGAAACCCATTTCGGCCGCTTGTATCCGGGACCTCGTTCTTTCGGTCATGACCCAAAGCTCCTGACCATAGATGAGGGTAGGAACGTAGATCGACCGATAAATCGAGAGCTTCGCTTTCTGACTCAGCTCTCTCTTCACCACAACGGACCGGTACAGCGCCCGCTTTACAACAGACGCTGCGCCAATCCGCCTGTCGATCTCCCGCTCCCTTCTTCCCCCATTCGTGAACAAGATCCCCAGATACTTGAACTCCTCCACTTGAGACAGGGCGACCCCCGCTGACCCGGAGAAGGCACTCTGCCCTTTTCCGGCTCAAGACCATGGCCTCCTTTATCTATCATGTTTGATTTAATTTAAAAATAAAGATGTTTTATATCACAAAATACCACTTTCTATCAACATGGAATCTATTATATAGGAGACAAACACAGTGAAATTTGAGAAGAGAAATGAAGTTTAAATTATTCACAGAAAGTGTGCAATAACTGGTTAAATAAAATTAGCCAGGTGCATAGATTTGGGCACTGTTTTCATTTTATTGATTTCAAAACCTTTATTGGAATTCAGATTTGGTTTGGTAAGTTCAGTGACCCTTGACCCTAATACACATGTGACTCTAATTATGAGAAAGGGTATTTAAGGGGGGCAATTGTAAGTTTTTCTCCTCTTTGCATCTTCACTGAAGAGTCGCAGCATGGGAGGAGTCTCAAAACAATTTTCAAATGAGCTGAAAACAAAGATTGTTCACCGTCATGGTTTAGCTGCTTCCATCTGATAAAAATTGGGATAATTTCATTTTTGACACCACAAGCAAGGCTCTTCTTGAAGATGAATGAATGAATGAATGAATGAATGAATGAATGAATGAATGAATGAATGAATGAATGAATGAATGAATGAATGAAGGAACCCCTCTCTTACATCATTCTCCCATGTATTCAGATAGGCACAAATTCAACGAGTCAAGAAATGAAACTTTTTCCACGTCTGTTGCACAAAGCAACAATAAACAAATCAGACCTTTGTCCGGGTGTGTCCTCACCCCTCGGGTCTGCACGGAGCTCATAAAAACACAGATGGACGGTGCTGGTGTGCAGCGGAGCTCAACAAAACCTCTGATTATGAAAATAACACAAGCGCAGCTGTCGTACGACGTGCGGCTGCCTCTCTCCCACAAAAACAACTTTTGATCCATTATGAATGTTCACATGAATTATGAATGCACTTACTCATTTTCAGTGGGCAGCGTGGATGTTGGGCTGAGTCCTAATTCTGATTCAGGGAGTGGGGGGGGGGGGGGGGGGGTGGATTGTGCTGCATTGGGATTACGTCTCACAAGTCCAGATTCATTAACCCAACAGGACTCACCCACTGAGGAGGTTCACACAAAAGATCATCACTGGCTGCCGAGGCAACAATTATACAAGTATTATATTAGCTGCATGGCAAAATGAAGTGTTTTGTATCAGTGAGCCTAATCTAACAGAAGTACCGCCAACAATAAATACTTTGAATTTTCAAAGTAATCACAATCTAAAGCTCATAGTAGTGGGGTGAAAGGTCAAGTTAACTGATAAGAAACTGCAGATATCAGTTACAGCATGAAGAACTTACCTGTTGATACTTTAGCTCAAAATAAGAAAAGCTTTTAGACGGATGCTTGTTCAGAATTTTCTCCAACAATTTATTTTGTTTGAGATTTAAAAAAATAACTTATAGCAAAAAACCTTCCCTCCAGCAGAGGGCAGCATTCATGTAACGTGCTCACATGATGGTTAGAGAGGACGTATTAAGACTTGTACAAAAACATGTTTGGTAATAACGAAAAAGAGACAAACTTAGTACAAAGTATTTTATTGTAAATATTTAAACTACAGTACATTTGTGTTTATAGTCGTGACAAAAGACCTACAGAAGAGTAACAAAAATAAATACATCTGCATCAATAGATGCGTGAAAGCTACTGTAAGTTCTCTTATGGTTCACCTTTTTTACTTTTAATGGGTGCCATTACTTTGACTATTTAAGTGAAAACGTGTAACCTTTCAATGACTACGAGATGTCAGGGCTTCAATAATTAACCTTGTCCTCACATTTCTATACTAGGATGGAATGATTGTAATAAAAAATAAACATACTTTAAAATGTCTTTTTTTTAGTCAAAGTGTCTCTTTAAGAGTTTCAGTTCATTGATACGTTGATATTTTACTGGTTTTCAGTGACAGAAATATATGTACACGTTATGTCAACCACATGCCGGAGCTGAAACGCTGCTGATGGACTCATTGTGCATCATTTACCACAGAATGAACTGCAAGATTACAAGAAAAAGCTAATCTCTGATTTCTCCACGTTATATTTTCAACACGCTTACCCCGAACGGTGTTGAAAAACACAAACAAAAACTGACAAATAAGCTGCTAAAGATTGTCACAGTAACAGAGTATTTTTTTTACTATTACATCATCTGCTCACTGACCTAAAGCATTGTTATATTTGTTAGAAAATAACCAGCATACCAAGCAAAAACAGTTCAAAAGTGTAGAAAAATAACTTCCTACTGACAAAAATACTGCCTGTTCCATTTTTGCTCCATAGCATTTAAGTTTTGATTATTTTAAAATGCAGTTTTGGATTACAATTTACAAAAATAACAGAATAAAAATAAGGAAACTAAGTATCTGATTGATACAATGAGTGAGGAGGAATTCCTCTATTGTAGATAAAAGAAAGTGCCAGAAATTGTTGATCCTTCATATTACTTGGTTTGTCCTTGCTTCTTCATTTTGGCAGAGTCCTTTTTCGTTCCCAGTCTTTTAAAGCCTGTGTGAGTGTTTGTGTGAGTGTGTGTGTGTTTGTGTGAGTTCTGCCAGGCTGGAAATGTGAAGAGATATTTCGGTTTCAAGCTAGGGTCCTTTGTCTTGGTTTGATTCTGGGGTAGAGCTGTTAAAGACAAATAAATGTCAGAAACGTGCAAAAATGCTAACAAACAGTTCTGACAGTATTTCAACTCACCCCGAGGAGATTTCGTGGAATATAACCCTCGGTGTCTCCCAGGCGTGCCCACCACCAGTCGATCTCGTCTTCATCTTCTCTGCGGACAACGGTCATGCAGTCTCCTTCATGGAAGGAGAGTTCATCCTGGTTTTCACCAGGGTAGTCCCACAGAGCGTAGACCACACCCCGGTTCATGATGCCCATCTTCTCTTGAACGCCTGAGGAGAAACAAGAGTGTAAAAATTAAAAATTTAGCCCTTTTTAATTCTCAGTGATTGCTTCTACAGAAAACAATAAAAAAATAAAAAAAACCCAACAAGCTCAAACAGAGCAGTGGCTTTTACTGACCATAAAGGAACTGGGAGCACTGAGTGTAACCCTCCTCCATTTCTTCACATTTATCAGCTGCTGTCTGCATGTCGCTGTAAGTCATGGCAAACACCGCTGCACCGGACTCCACCAAAAACTTGCACACTTGCACGTTGTTGCAGGATGCAGCGCAGTGAAGGGGTGTCCTAATTGGAGAGGGAAAAGAAAGGAAAAAATCGATAAGATATCAAAAAATAAATAGCATGGGAGTAGAAAACAGGACTTCAGGGAAATTAAAAATAATCTTGAGTCAGAGGAAAGTGGTTGGAAACTTTGAGACATTCGTGTAAGAATGAGATTTACTTCAGGACTTTTTAGATTCAAGTTTTAACCAAACTAACAAAAAGAGCAAATAAGCCATCGCCTCAGCGGGGAACTTGAACTCACCAGCCGTCACTGTCAGCAGCATTAACGTTGACGCCAAACTGAACCAGAAACTTGACGATCTCTGTGTGTCCGGCACACACAGCGTTGTGCAGAGCGGTGATGCCTTCATCGTTGGGCTGACTGGGATCCTCCACCTGCAGTTAAGGAACGACATGAAGAGAAGTCAGAAATCACAACAAATTGAAACTCAGTAGTTATGAGCAATAATTCTTTTTAATCTACACGTCTACAATACAAAAAATAAAAACTATTTCATATAAAACAAAACACTTACTTCGTATATGATCCTCTGGACCAGGTCATACTCTCCCTCCAGAGACGAGTCCAGCAGCAGAGCCAGCGGGTTGAACTTCACCCTCATTTTGTGGTCGATGCGTTCAGAGTCAGGCTTGCGCAAATTAGTCCTCTTTCCCTGAAGATACAATCGTGATCTTTCATCAGTCAAATGATGCCAAAAGTCATTTTAAGTTCACGAACAAAAACAAAACATCAGACTTTGCCTTGGCTACTCTCAGCTCTGCTCAGATCTCAGCTCCTGCTCTTGGAGCAGAAATATAACTTGTGTTTCCAACCCTGCTTTGCTAATCCAGTTTATGAGTTCAAGCTGGGGAAAAAAAACTTATTTGTTACTCTAAACCATGGTTATGTAACCTGATTAGGAACAATCACGTCTACAGGGGGGAAAAAGGTTTTAACTTCTATGTAGGTGAGAAAAAGAGCAAATCTGAGAGGAAAAAAATAGGTCGTTATACTGATTCCTTATTGGATTGTGAGATCTAAACCTCTTACTGAGTTTCACTAAGAGCTTAGCATTAGAAAAATTCAAACTAGTGTTTATTTTCAGAACAGAAAGAATCCTCTTAGACTAAAGAGAATAGGGCCCATTTTCACCAAGAACAGGAGCAGAACTTTAAGGATTATATGTTACGTTATAAAACACCAGATTTGGTTGCTGTGATTGTTCAGGACCTCAATAAAAGCAGAACTTGCACAAACTGTAACTCATGACCTGCTCTTGTCAATCTAAAACATATGAAGTGAAATGAACAAAAGCAAACAGTATCTAGTCCAAAAAGATGAGGCTGTCATCAATATTATTACATCACTGAGAGTTTGCAGATGGGAGTTCATACCGGAGGCAGGGTGACCTGTCCTGTGACCTCAGGTGCTTTCATGTTAAAGGTGTCTTCTCCAAAACTGTCCTGCTCTGCTCCAGTGGGGTATGGAGGTGGTGGGTAGGGGGGAAACTCTTCCAGGAAGCCTTCTGAAGGTGGTGGGGGCAGGTTGGACAATGCGTCCTCAGAGCCTGCAGAAGGTGGTGAAGGGAAGAAGGCGTCTTCGGGCCTGGGAGCGGGGTGGGACGGTGGAGGAGGGGGGATGATGAGCTCGGGGTCTGGGAAGGCTGACGGTGGTTTGGGCTGACCAGCTGTGGATGGAAGTGACACGCTGGCACCTGGAACGTAGGATGGGAGTTGTCCTCTTTCCACCGTCTGGCCGGACTCTGACGGGAAACGTTCTGCACCGAGCAGACCGTGTGACTCTGCAGATCCATTCACCGGCGTCTCTCCTTCTCCAGCGTAGGTGGGAGGGGCTGGCGTGGTTGCAGTGGTCTCCATAGCTTCCTGTAGGGTCTTCTGATAGAGGAGCTTCTGAATGTTGGGTCCTGCTGGACCCTCCGGTTCAGTGATGGAGCTGCGTTTTTTCAGGGGCCGCGGAGCGTTGTAGAGCTTCTTTCTAAGGGCTTCCAGGTCACTCTCACTCTGTCTGTAGGGGTTAGAAATAAAGGGGAGCAGCTTGGTGGGGCTGAGGGGACGGGGGATGCGTTCCGTTTCTTGCTGGGAGCCCTCCGGGGGACCGGGACCCACGCTGTTGGTTCCAGACAGATCAACTTCATTTTCCAGGGCAGGTGAGCGGCGCTCCAGGTATGGATTCTCAAGGTGCTGGGAGCCTCCACTGGGAATCACTGGTTTACCATAAACTATACAGAAACATAAGAAACACACTGTAAGTGTCCAGCAAAATGTTACCCCTGTGGGTTTACAGATAAATCACTAAGAGAAACAAATGTTTAAAAATTCTATGAGAGTGACAACAGTCCTCTGTCCTCTTGACAACACAATCTTAGCATCATTATATTCTTACCACTGACAAAGCCATTGGTGCGGTTTTGAGACCGRTTGAGAGCTCCTTGGATGCCGGACTGGAAGGGTTTTCCTGATCCAGGTTGCTTYGTGTACATGGAGTAAATAGAACTGGCTGCTACGGTTTGTGGTTTATTCAAACTGGTGTCTTTGGGGGATGGGAGCTCTGGGGTGAAGGGTCTCACCGTAGCTGCTGGTGGAGTGTCCTGCTTAGAGGGTAAGGGGAGTGTCTGGCTCTGTGAGGGTAGAAGAGGGCTGTGGCCCTGAGCAGTCTGGGGCTGCTGACTGTGGGGCTTGGCCTTGGGGAAGGTCCCTGTGTTCAGACCTGGTTTGCTGTAGGGAACAGCGGCAGGGCCTTTTGGTTTGCTAGGAACARGTGGTGGCACCTTGACTTGAGCCTTAGGTGCAGACTAGAACATTCAGAGAAAAAAAATAGCATATTAAAAGGGTGCATTCCTGCCATAAACCAACCTGAGCATCAGTCGTGATCTTGTTTTGTTGGCTCACCTGACCGTCCCTGACCAGGTCATCGCTGCTCTGGTTTTTGCGAAGAGAGGCTGGAGGCGGTTCAGCGGATTCAAACATGGACAATGGACGCATCTTCCTGTCCCTCTTCAGTTCAGACTCATCTAATCACAAATTAGAAGAGGCAGAAAACAGTTGTGTCTCATGTTCAAAGGCACTTTGATTTACTAAAAGAAAAGAACAAAGTCCTCTTAAGAAGCACCTACAAGTTAATTTTCAGAAAACCAAGACTGCAGTTTACCTTTTACAATTTGTTGTGAAGCTGTATTTGCTAAGCCTGGATAGCTTACCTAGCTCCGTGTTCGAGTTGGAGTGAGAAGTCATTCGTGGCAGTGTTGAAGCTTGGCCATAACCGATGGTGTTTGAATCCTGATTTGAAGCACTCCAATCTGATAGTTTTCCTGACTGAGGGCCTGAGGGACCAACAAAGGAAGATGGAGGAAATATGACGTCACAAACTGGTAAAAAAAAAAAAAAAACAATAAACAAAGCACAAAGAGCACACAAATTTGAATATGTTTGAGTTGAACACAAAGGTTGTAGGGAATTTAACATTGCTTTGGTTCATCTGAGTTTGAGTCAGTGGTTACATCCACCGCCTGATGAGCCTCAAAAAATGGAGCTCTTGCTACTAGATTTAACGCCTCAAAGATGCTAAAAACAAATTATTTCCATCACACGCACTGCAGATGCATTAAAAAAATGCAGGAACTGAAACAGAGTTCTGCAGATACACCCACAMACACATTTTGAAGACATGACCAGACTGAGTGGGTAACGATCCCAACAAAACATCAGTTCAAGTGAAGGTTATGAATTTGTTCCAACTGACCCGTTTAGAGTCTCAGGCAATGAAAGAAAACTCAACGATCAGAAGTAAACAACACAGCAGCAAAACAATCAAGTAGGCCCAAATTTCAGCTGTTAAATAACTGATATTATATATTTTTGTGTAAATGCATCATAAGAAATAATTGCATCCTACTGAAAAGCACACACGCACAAACACAAGTGTGTACCTTTTCTTTTAGCCCGCAGCTCTTTCAGAGGYTTAAGCAAGAACATGGCTTCTAAGGAAGATGCATTCGAAAGACAAGAAAAACAAAAGTAGCCTTAAATCTCCAGATCTCCTTTGCTTTAGACATGATGATGACTGAATCCAGGCACTGACCCCCAGGAGGGGGCCATGCAGAAAGCAGCAATACCCCCAGGAGTCTGCCTGATACTTCGCTCTRCACTTTGGAAGCTTAAAGAGAACTGGTAATGAGAGATTTTTTTTTTGAGCGCCCACCCATCTCTATCTCTCTTCTTTCCATACTGCACATCAACCCAACATGCAGAAGTAATTGCATGCAACAGCAGAACAGAATGAGGAGGAAAAAAGCACGACTTTTTCTGCCTGTACATGATTTTGCTTTAAACTGGAAAACTTGGGTTGACAAGGATGTGTCAGAGCAGGAATGTTGGATTAAAATATTTTCTGTTACTGTKTTGTTATTACAAATTACAGTGTTTGTAAATACAATTTTGCACTTCATGTGGTGAATCTGACCTCTACCAGGAAKAGTTTAAGAAAATGGTKACTGTTCACATTAGACAGAACTTATGAAATTGATCATTTATTTGATTTGATGAGACTTTCACTTTGACTGCACTGCAGAGTGTCAGACTCTTCAAATGTAATATATAATAAAGTGTGCTCTTAAGCATTAAAATGGTATTTTCCATCGCTCTTTAAAATAGGATCCAATTTTTGGTTGCTAAATCTTAATGTATCCCAACAAATAGAACCACAAATTCAGCAAAAAAAAAAAAAAAAACTAAAAATATAGCTAAAGATAATACCCATGGTTATTACTGTTTGTTTTCTAGTTATGAAAAAGGATCATTATCAGAAGTATCTAATAATTTCCTCCCATTTAACACACATGTAGAAAAGTATCAAGATCATCACAGAAAGAATCAACTTGGCAAGTTCACTCACTGCAAACTCCATCAGTCTTTTGCAGAAAAGACATTGAAGTAAAACACAAAACTATTCTAGATTTTCACACTCAGCGGGGCTACATCACAGCACGCCTTTAAGGAGGTAACTGGCTACCTTCTGAGCTTAAAGTGACRCCACACTCTGCAGGCGTGCCAATGTTCTCTCCTCCTGCAGGAGGCAGGACAATTTAGTTCATCTAAACATATACCRACTGTTTACACAGTCAGTAGTTCAGATATTACAAAATAAACTCCACTTTGTTAGCTATRGAGCACAAAGCAAAAAAAAGTTGGTGGATAAATTATACATAAAATGACAAATGGGACAATATGGGGGACTGCAGGCAACTCAGGCCCCCTGAAGATCCGAGTCATAGTCAGTGATTTAAAAGAAGGAAAAGCAGCTGACAGCTTCTTGTCTTGATTTCTCACCTGTCCCAGTCTTGTTCTGGAGGTCACTGCCTGGAAGAGGTGAAGTGCTGTCTGGATATGCTGGTTTTACAAGTAAATCATGTCTAACTTGACCCCTGGGCATGGTGGATGACTGGATGTATGGGCCGACCGCTGCCACACGAGATGGACCTGACTGCTGTCCGGTTTGGCCATCAGAGGGCAGCTGGAGGATAAAGAAGGCAAAAAAAAAAAAAGAAAAGAAAAGAAAAGAAAAGGAGAACACACTTGTTACTTTCACTGCAGCAGTTTGGTGAACACAGTTCAAGATATGCTGTGATACATGAGACAGAAGGGAGAATACACTTGTCAGCTAAATAAAAAATGAAGATGATACATCGTTACTAAAAAATGAAATAAATTTCTATATTTGAACAGGAAGGATGTGTTGTAAACTTGTGCTTGTATGCAGCACTGGACCAGAACATACTTTGACCCACATTAAATATTGTTTTTCTGATAAAACAAGGAGATACTTAAGAATTTGAAAGGAAATTTTTTTATCTTTCTAACCTGTAGATGGTGCTAGAAAAAAGGTCATTCCAGTGATGAACTCATATTTTAATGAAGTGTGCTGCCACAAACTAAATTATAATAAATATAACAACTAACTGGTTGGGTCTTGTTAACATAAAAAAGTATATATTAATGGTCACCTAAGTAAAACAGATATTTTATAAAAGAACAAAATGTCATAATGTACAAACATCTTTGTTTAATAAACAATGAAACTAGGCGTGGGTGGAACAATGTTTAGTTACAGTTTCAAGTGTTGGGAACAGTTACTGATTTCAAACCATACATTAAAGCGTTGTGATTATTTTGTAAATCAACTTGTCATAAAAAATGCAGAATATATTGCTGTTTTTAAACCGTTTAATGTGAATTTTAAGTTATAGAAAATGCTTACAAAACGGCACAAGTTGTTTAATTTTGGCTGAACTCCAGAAGCTCTTAAGGTTAGAAAACTACACACAGAGTGGAAAATAAAGATATTCCTTTAAAACTGTGAAACCTTCAAAACTGGTTCATATTCTAATGACTGAACCATTTCTCATGTTTGCTGAGCTGATAGGAAATGAACATGCTCCAAATGTTATGTTGTGAATGAAACCAATACAAAAKTKAATAAAAAAAGAAGTGCAAACGGATATTTTACCGGTGCAAACAGAAAGCAGATACAACAAATACAGCTGCATTACTAATTTAGTTACCTGACGTTGAGTGTCTTTTGAAGCTCTCTCTTTAGCAGGATAGCCATTCTTGAAAAAAACAAAACAAAAAGCACAAACATGCAAAAGCAGTTCAAAATACCAAATAATCCTCCCTATTCATTCTATTATTACCCTTTCTTTGTACTTAAATAAATGTAACAGACGGCGCAGAATAACTTTTTGCTGGCAGCTTTCAGTTTTTCTGTTCAGTCAATATGTTGTTGTGTGTGCATGTGTGTGTGTTGAGTGATGTCTGCCAGATGCTGTTTGGTAGGAGGAGAAAGCAGTTTTGGGTGGTTTGTGTCTTTGTGCTGGTGTGAAAAAAGATCACTCATTATGATTCTAGGCAGGGTGTGGGTAAATCACCTTCTCACTAGACCYATTCARGTTTTCCTCTCAAAAACACACAAAAAGCTGCAAACACTCACATGCAAACACTTCAATGTACTACTTCTACTTTATTAGATACATCAAGGGGGTGTTAAAAGACAAGGTGGGGTGCCTATTGCTTATAAAAAGCTCCCAAATAGAACCTCAATAGGATATGGAAATAGCCAGGTCAAACTTAAAGTCTGCTTTAGCTCAGATACATTGTGTCCACTTGGTTTGGCTATTAAACATTGCATGCTTAAGAYTTATRAGGTGTATTTTTTTATATCTACAACAGACAAAAGCATTCACAAGTCCTACAGAACACATTTTATGCAGTTAATTAGTTATTAGTTGAAATTTAATAGGTCTGAAAGACTGAAAGTTTACAGTGAAAGCAGATAAAGTACCCTCATGGAAACAGACTCAGTTCAGATAACATGATAGGAGATCTCCATACCAAAGAGACAACAGGACAAATGACTTGTAAATTTTAAGAAAAGTGAAGACAAATGCTTGTAATCTCACTCGGTCATCAGTGTCATTTAAGCTGCGGCGGTAAAGAAAACAAATTTCCTCCTTCAGATTCTGTTTCATAAACAAATCTGTTGACTCTCATTTACAGCCTCGTGGCAATTTTGTGTGCAAAGCAACTCCTGTAAATGGAGGAGTGACGAAGAGGAGCAAGACAACAGCAGAGTGTAAGCTCAGACTGAAATGTTTCACTGCCAGAGGCGAGTCAAAAATCGGGATGAGTCTGCTGGTAGATTCCTAATGAATGTTTTTTTAAATTGTAAAAAGCAGTTTACAAGGCTAAAATTTTGATCTTTTTTAAAAAAGTGATTGTTTCTTTAAGAAGACTGGTTGTTTGACTTGTTGAGGAAGAAGCCAGAAAAGACTAACATTCCTGCATGTCGCTGACAGTCTGAGCTCATTTTTCCACTCTCACCGTCAGAACTTGTTTCTGTCAGAATGAGACTGTAAACTTAACTGAAGAACAGGTTTGGGAAGAGTTCAAGGTGCAACTTGGTTTTATGGTCATGACAATATTCCAGCTCTCAAAAGCATCATTAGAGGGGGGAAAAAAGTCCCAAAAAGAGGAAATTGACAAAAAAGAAATCAAAAGGAATTGATTCWTTTAATTATCCCAATCAGAGGACAGGAAGTTTGAGGAGCCGAACTTCAGTATGGTGAAATAGTGAAAACCATAAGATATGAGGCTCCAGGAAAATAAAGATGCAAACCCATTTAAGGAAATTAGGAGAAATTCATCAAAAGAATCCATTGTTACAGAAAGGATGACATCTAGGAGAGGTAACACTTACAGGCACGTTCTCTTTCTGTTGAAGGGCCGCCTTTTTCTTCCAAAGCCTATCTCGCAGCTCAATGATTCGTTTGTCCATCGCGGCCACCTCCAGGTTGCGTTTGTTTAGACTCTCCCTCTGCTGCTGCAGCTTTGAATTTTGATCCTGGTTAAGCTTATTTCTCACCTGATYCCAGAAACAACACAAGACAGAAGAAGAGTCAGTTTAACATTTGTGCTTGTTGAACACCATCATCTCAGGAGGTTCATTTTATTTATTTAGTTTCTCCACACCTGTAGCTCTTTATAGAGGCGATCTAGCTCTGCCACTGAGCTTTGGTTGTCACGGTTATTCTCCATTTTGCTATTTTTGAGCAACTCTAGCTGACGACTGAGCTCCTCCACCTTGGATGCAGCCATCATCAGTTCTTTTTGCTTCTGCTGGAACAGGTTGTTCATCTGCTCAATTTCTTCCACTGGAGAGAGAAGTGGTGTGTGATGGAGGATAGATGAGAAGAACAAACACACATGAGTAATGCCATAAAAACAGGAAGTCTTAGGAATGTTTTTTTTTAACATTAATGGATTCATAGAGTGGATGAGCTCACCCAGTTTGCCATTGCTGACACGTTTCTGCTCCACCTGGCCCTTGAGAGCCCTGACTTTCTTGAGTCGTGATTCCTGGTTCTCAATGTTTTCTCTGAGGCGCTGGAGCTTCTCCTGCTCTGAAGCCTGCTGCTGCTGCTGACGCTGCTCCTGTTGCTTCAGGTACCGCAGTCGCTGCTCCTGCAAACAACAGAAAGCAGAAACTGAATAAAAACTATCACCGAATATGCATGGGTTAAAGCGGAAAAAAAAAAATATATATA